GCACGGTAGTGAGTATGGTCAATGGGAATACCGATATATGGTATCATTAACTAACTGATATCAAAATCGAACAAGCACCATCTCCAGGGAAAAACGATCAATAAGCGATTACGCATAGCTGGTACTGATGCCAGGCCTCTTGTTTCAACCCATAAAGATAATCTATATGACCATGCGCTACTTAGAACAGTATCAAGAGCGATGTTTACGGCGAGACGTTCACAGGGGTCGGGATATTAAAGAACATTAAAATATAAAAACAAACATTAACACGTATCTGAATATAATGAAGCAATTGTTAGATAAGTTTCATCATAAGAACATTACGAAGACATGCGGTGTGTCTCAGTGTAGCAGTAGCTACCCGCAGATGCTGCGTGAAACGTAACTAGACTTATATACGTTCTGGGTCACACAACAGTAAGGCCTATAGCATTGTTTGTCTCAAGTAACATATTGAAGGAATGAGAAAAGGTTGATAGTTTGAATAGCTTTTATAAAAAGAATCACACAAAATCACGGTTTGGAACATATCTTAGCTTATTAAAATTGACAGAAATGACAGACCACAGGCTAACATAAATAAGCTATATTTTATATTTTGGTAATAAGTGTCGATTTTGACACACGTGTTTTGTTTTCTGCCATTATTAATGAGTCCAGTCGAGAGGAAAACAGTTTGTGGTTAGGTTTCCCGTTACAAGACATGTATCGAATCTGCAAGGTCGATTTAAACGCAACTCTTAAAACGTCCCAATTTGATCAGACATAAACTACAATATTCTGCCTGGGGATGAGGGTTGAAACAGTTTGACCTCATTCTTCTCTAATCCTTCTTCTCTAATTCTCCCAATCAAGGGCGACATGCATGAGAAATCTGACATATACAAACAGCCAGGGGCTGTCAGTCAGGTAACATACACTCGAAATAGCATCACAAGCATTTCTTGTTTATTTCACTTCTGTCAAATGTATCACTTGTATAGGCCACGTAGCCCAATATCGACGATGTCGTCACGAGAGTGTCATTTGATTCGTGTTGCTCTTATACACGGGCCGTCGATAACCCCACAGCAATTTAGCAAGACCTTCGAAAAGTGAATAATCACATTTATATTAATTTTTGATAGGCATGCCTTTGAAGCTGACGGATGACGGAGTGAACACAATTTATGGATAAACAACTTCTTTAATACGTATACTATAACTTCTTGACAACGGTGTAAGGATCTGTACCGAAACGTCGGTATAATAGTATTTTAAAATTGATATCCATGAATTGCGAACACTTAGTCGCTTTTATTAATGTTATCGGATTTATTATTACAGATTAAGAAAAAAATCTACAGTAAACTTAAACAATCATCGGTAAACATTTAGTTTCAATTTAACGTTTCAAATGTAACACATTATCAATGCAAAGTCACATTCGTTTGAATTAGAAAAAAAATAAAAATTCACAGCTCCAGACCGAAATCTTATTTACTTAAACAATTTCCAACAACCTTTACAATCAGTTTATCAGTCTATCAGATTAAGTACATAAACGTTACAATGACTGTTTGGAAAACCAGCACCCAATGCATAGATATTTGTGATCGTTCCAGCACATAGAGAAACCGCTGACCTTCGCCGACAGAGTTTGCCTGAGATCGGGAACGCTCGACAACCAGGGCAGGCGGGGTTTCTGTCACGCTCCCTGACTACAGGGTCACACAATGCAACACGTAGCTGTGACAGAAGTATCGCAGGTGAATATTCACTGGATATATTAATGTTATCACACACTGAAGAAATGGAAACCAAGAAACCTATGGCTATTTATGTTCTTGCTTGGTGAAGCCGACCTGGCCGACTGGTTGAATGTGATGTACAATAACACCGCATGTGTCTTACAAGAAATACTGACCATGGCAATTTACTAAATGACGAATTCGACGTGCCCCTCTAATGGTAGCTAATGACTGTGTTGTATAAGACTGGGCGACGCAGGCGACTATCCACGACCCCAGGAGGCAATGCGTCATAGCTGGCCGTTCATTGACCTGTCAATGTTACACACACAGAGCATCATTAACAGTAGAAGCACGGGACTAAGTACGTCGAATCTACATCCTCGTCATCTACACATCACATACTGTACTCTCTCCCCCTGTTTATACTAAAGGGTCTATATATACATACACCCGTGTATACACAGCTTTATCAACTGCAGTGTTAGCAGGACTTTGCAAGAGACGAACGGTATTAAGACATTTTCATGACAATTGTCAATTTCCTATGGGATATTTTTCTATATGATTACCAAATTTGAAAAAAAAAATTTCAGGACATTTGGACGACAATCAGTCAATAGCCAAGAAAATTAACCGATCTGAACTTCCAATTACTGTTATATGACTGTTAATATCAAAGGGCTTTAATAGGCCCCGTTTATACACAAATGAATTAACCGTTATATTTTTGAACCAATATTTCTTCAGTTGTATACTTAGTAAAGTGAACGAGCAAACTTAAAGAATCGGACGGGGTTTTGTGCAATTTACGTATATGGGAGTTAGTTTGAGAAACGTTCTGGTTTACCCCCTTCACGAATCAGGGCTCACTGCTGACGTAACAGTGTACAGAATGTCAAAACACATGTTATAACTTGGAACTCGGAACACGACTTATTTCCACCATACCCCGCTACATTAGCCCGAATATAAGAAGTATGAATTTAAGTTGAACTTGCATGTACTGACAGAGTGAGTAACAACGCCACGTGATAACAAATCTGAAATAGCACGTACATATTTGTTTTGATTGACTTGCGTTACACCTAAATCTGACAAGGCAGTGTGTGGATCACTTAACACTGAATTCACTCAAGTCCAAGTGGCCGATATATCCCCTATGCTGATAAGAACATTAGTGAACCTGGTTGAACGAGTTGTTAAATATCATAGCTAAACTACATTCTCAACCTGAGTCGGATATTCATCACCTAAATAAACAAAAAGTTTTATTTCCATAACTTCTCGTGAATTCTATTCAATGGGTAAAACTACGACATAAAGTCACCTAACCCTAACCATCTAACCTTATTCTTAAACTTTCGCAGTATGGATGACAAGTATTGCACATGCGCAGAATGACGGTTTGGCTGCCCACACTGCAGTGCAATGCATATAGATGCGGCGTCTCACACAATCACTACTTCTTCCAAACCCTCCTTTTGCGAACAGATATGATTCAAATAGGTAGATTATAAATACAAAAATACCTTTACAATATCACGACTTTTGAATTTGTGACATATCATCACTAGATCGTGGTCATGACTGTCCCATTTCCTCCTATACACATGCTTCATATAAACAGACACACGTATCACTGTTAATCAAACATCGTTGAATAAAGTGCGTATTCAACATTTAGAATTATCAATAAATCTTCCAAATTTACAATACATGATAATAACTGCATAAATTATGGTAAAGACGTATCTGCACAAGTCCAGATCTTGCTCTTACAAGCCTTAAGAGAGACTGATCTACATAGATGATTCGGCCAGTTAGCTTCCGATTTACAACAAACATAAAAAGGGGTGATCGAAATATAATTCAATGGAATGCATCTGCTGCTTAGAAGCTTTTAACATAACTTCCAGGGAGTAAACATCACAAAATACCAAAATATTCCTATTTCTTGGTGAACGTGCGTCTCCCCACGTCGCTCATGTTAGACCGTCTGGTAAACGATTGCAAATTCCAAAATACTTCCTTCCTTTTAACCAAACCTATACCAAAAGCTAACCCAAACACTGCAAAAGCTGAACAACATATCAGAATACACAAAAATATCATTCAAATGACATTTTTAATTGTTTTTCGTGACTCATTACGAAAATTTCTCCTTGTTTTGACAATATGCGACCCTGGAAAACGCACATTTTCTGCATATGCCTTGCGAGTATCAAAATTGTTAATACACAATGTTAACAACTACATGAGGTATCAAAAGAAAGAGCAAAACCCGCTGAAACTAATGGTGGTTACACATTCACATTACGACCAGTATTTACTGAATTATCGTTTAATATAAATGCGTAAATTTCACAAGCTTGTCGTTCAATGCAACCAATGTGATCAGCTCACGTGCATAGTGGAGCGAAATTCAAGCCGTGCGCAGTAAAAACTGACTTTCACAACCCTCTCTGTGCGTATAAAGTAAGGAGAATTTGTCAACTTTAATTTCAAAACATGTATGGGGGTCATTAAATTGTTTCTTTGGTTTTGTCTTCCGATTTCTTTCATCACTGTCGCTGGAGTTGGAGATTGGCCTTACAAAATGGCTGCTCTCTTTCACATGCGATAGCCTGTCATCAAACAGCGATAACTTCAAGGAAACCATTGAACCTACCAATCTACGGCCGTTGTCGGTCGTCTCACTCATGTTGAAAGATGCATATACTTCAAATGAGTGTGTAATATCCAATTTTCAAGAGTATCGCTGAACCAATTTCTTCGATTCAGTCAACTTTTTTGTGTACAAAAACTTGTGACGTCACAGGGCGGTCAGGTACTAGGTCACGTGACTAGACAGAAAGGTCACGAAAGGTACTATTTTCCCGACCACTGTCTTTATATGCATGTTTAATTCAAAATCACATGGTTTGTTTTGCCGGATTAGTTTGTGTTTCAATGTAAACCAAATTAAGATTTGTCTGTATTAATTGATAAAAGGTTTGTATGATCTGCAAAGTTTGATTTTATGTACAATTTAGATCGGAATCAAAGGCGAGCTGAACATATTTTTAACGATCGTTTCCTCCAAATTGAACTATTTTTTTAAGGTATTGCGTTTTCCTTATTCACCACACAATAAGGTTCCAGGGTAAATATGAATATTTAAGACAGCAACAATAGTATATTGAGTATCGCGTAAGACGACGTCCATCAGAAGCCGGTAATATTCTTATATATAATAAAAGTTGTCTGTCAGTCAGTATGCGGAAATAAGGCATGCGCCGGAGCTACGGTTTGTGTTTGTTTCGAGACGTGTTTACGTGTGAAATTGGGAACGGAATGATACCGAATCACATTTGACAGTCATTACATATACAATATAACCCCGCTCCCTTCATGCAAGAGCGCCCAAAAACCTACGAAGAGTGGCTCCTAAATACATACGTAGATCAGATGGCCAACCAACACACAAGCCAAGCGCTTTCGTGGCGGAGGTTATATCTGAGCCGGGCCAAACTGAAGGCCTCCAGTCGCACATCGGCCCTGTTATCCGGCTTTGCGATGGTAAGTCACACATATTCGTCCATTATTTGTTGTCGATCGCCTTATTGATCACCTCTGTCAGATGTTGCACGAACTGTGGCACAGCTTGATCTGAATGATGTGCATCATTATGACATCGTTGAATTTTCAATTTCATTGAAATATTTTAATTTGTTAACAATTAGATTCTATATCTAGATCTACCTAAAATACCAGTGCATTATTCATTAGACAGTCACATGTAATGTTAACAATATTTGTTTATATGTTTAAACTACCTTCAAATATCGTTGTTTCTAACCAATGAAATGTTAAGCATCAGTTCTGTCCATTTGATAAATGTACGTGCTAGTCAATATGATTCCGTAGTGAAAATATAGGCCTCGTGAAAATTATAACTAGATAATGTTTAGTATTGTATAAAATATACGTCCAAGTTGAAAGTTTTCCGTAGTAGAAATTTAAGGAATTGCGTGACATCAAATAGATTTATATGGCGATTTTATGTTCTGATTCTTGGCGATTCAGAATGAAAATGCATGTCTAATTGTTTATGCGAAAATCAATAGAGTGTTACCCCTGAGGACTCAACTGTGCTTGAAAAAAAGCATCGTCATTTGTTCCCTTACGCCACGGAAGAACATACCGTGGGATGGTACAAGATATATATTTGTTTATCTACACACTAATATCCAGCTTCGGTGTTTCACATTCTAACGTTGTGTTATTACGACTCATTTGAGTGTGAGTGTAACACGCCATGTCTTATCAGTCCACGGTTGTTCAAGTGTGTTACCACCACCCCCGTATCCCATGACATTTACCTATAATTCGACAATGCACGCAGCTGAAGCAAACAAACAGAGGAACACACAGGTTAATAAACAACAAAAACACCATTTACACGTGGTTATGACATTGCAATAATTCATCAAGAGAAATTGTACAAATTGTTTTCTACTTTTTCTTGTTCATGGTCCTTTCACAGTTACATGTTTTAATTCCCTGCAAAGTTACATTGCTTAAATTTTTTAAGCCTGTCAGTTGCTTTTTTACATTTAAAAAAAGACTTTTTTTCGTGTTATGTTTTGAAAATCGGACGTAGTTGTATAAGTTCCATCTATTTCTGCCATACTGTTTTTGTTAGGTATTTAATGATATGTAAGCGTTGAATGTAATTGTTTATGTAATTAGCTTTCTGTGCATCAATCTCTACTCGCATGGCATAGGGACTGTGAAGTATTTATGGAATTATTCAAACGAACAAATTTAATTTCTTTACGACCATGGAAGTGACGCCGGCTCAACTATTATCCAGGGTCTACATAAGCGGAAGCGCATGAACTACGTACTACATTCCAAAAGCAATGTATTAAAATACCAAACGATGAAAAATAATCAAACGCTTTCAAAAAGGTATTGCCCATCCCCGAGACGTACGATTATTGGACCGTGAAGTTAGGTTAGGAAGTCTAGGTTGTTCAAATTCTCGCTGGTCCTCGCTTGCTGTCATCGCAGGTGATAAAGATGAAATTTCATGTTGAGAGGTTTACTTTGTGAGACAAGGAGGCAGCTCTGTAAGCGTTAAAACACATATCTTATTCTTAGCGATACCACTAGTGAATAATAGGTGAGTAATCCTTTAACACAATTTAAAGAAACATGGATCTGGTTCTTTCCAGAAAAAGGAATTATTTAACGTATTTGCCCGACAGACTTATATTTCGTAAATGAGGGTCAATTAGACCTATAATACATAATCATCATAATGTGTTTGTGTACTTTATGGATTAGCGTCAATAATGTTTACGTTTCTTAATTTGAACACTTTTTGAAGATATAGGCTTTGTTGAACCACAGCTTCTGATTTGTGCTGGATATCTAATATATAAACTTGTGTTGTGTTGGTCATCCATTACAATACTTCGGTAGATTAATTTCCCTTAAACAAGTGTATACAGGGCATATACACAACACGTGGTACTTGAACGAAATGTACCATTCGTCAATTATTGCCTCCTATTATTGTCCCACAATGCACCACCTGTTTATCAGCAACATCCGTCATTGATAGTATGACACAGAAAGATGTTATGTAAAGAGACGGACAGCGCCATTTGACATGGCATGTTGTGGGATTGTATTAATTAATATGTGACACGTGACATTTCATGGTGACATAAGATGTTAGTCTTGTGACAGAAGATATTAGTCTTGTAACAGAGGAACACAGAGGAGTATCTTGGCTTTGTAGTAGAATTTATTTACTTTACTGTTGTATTAGTGGTATGTTGCCATGGTAACAAAGAATATACAGTGTTTCATGTTGTTTTTCAAGGAAGCGGTCTGAATGACATCCAAAATGTCCTAAAGATGGCTTTTAGATTTAATAATGACATGGCTGAATGTGCTATGACAACTTCATGTCATTTTAATGTCTCCGGTAGCATATGGGTACGTGTATATATTACTGCATATTGATAACTTTATCTATACGCTAGGCAGAATTTCCGTAACTATCGGAAGACATCAGCTGCGACAAGAAAGACTCGCTCCAGTTCCGAGCCAAAGGCTAAAATGATACAAGTTTCTCAACACGGTCTGTGTCTCTGTAAAGAAATCAACAAGTATTGTGAATGGGTGTGAATAGTCGACTATAACAGTTCATGCAATATAGCCTCAGGCCCGTGAAGATCCGGCGTAGAATAGATCCCCAGCATGCTTGCCGTAAAAGGCGACTATGCTTGTCGTAAGAGGCGACTAACGGAATCGGGTGGTCAGGCTCACTGACTTTGTTGATGCATGTCATCGTATCCCAAATGCGTGGATCGATGCTCATGATGTCAATCACTGGATTATCTGGTCCAGACTCGATTATTTACAGACCGCCGTCATATAGCTTGAATATTGCTGAGTGCGGCGTTAAACAACAACTACACAAACAAACAATATAGCCACAACAGGCTTTGTCTGAATGTCCCACTGTAGCACGCTGACTGACTATGTTGGGAACTGGGCGAGGCGACCTGGACACAAGGCATGAATAGTGTTTTATGCCGTGTCCTGCAGCTACTGATCTATAAACATATTTAATTATACCGACCACATACATCGATTCTCACAAAAGAAAATTTCAGTGGGTTTGTCTTCTCGAGATTCGAGCTGTTTGGTCGACGCGATTTGACATTTCAACACGCTGGCTCGTTTTGGTTTGAGTGTACTACATCCACAGTTGCATTGGTTCTGTATCTTTGATTAAGGCAATTAATGGTCACTTGTTTTAGGGATTCTATGGAGCCATGTAATGCAAATCCTGTCGTCCATATTTGGGAAACATGACTGCCTTTTTTGAAGACAGGTTTTTCAGTGCTTAACAGAAATTTGGTATTCACGAATACAGTGTATTCAATAATGAACATGTTCAATATATGAATACACAATGCCATTAAGAAAGTGGTCACATGTAGCAAACGTTATATAACACTTCCTGAGTAAAGTACAGATTCTAGGCTATTTGGGATTGAGTCCCATCCAGGATTCGAACCAACATTGCCAGAGTAAGGCAGCTAATCGCCAGCACACAAAGTCAGCCATCTAACCCACTCAGCCACCGAGGCTTCCACAAAAACGAAAGTCTGACAACTGGTAGTCTTAATCACGTATAGCTTGTGTACCCCTCTGACAAGTGTAAATTGGCACGGCTCCCATGGCCGAAAGCTATGAACACACAATGCCAATTGTAAAGTGGTCAAATGTAGCAGATGGCATATTTGGGATAACACTTTCTGAGTAAAGTTCTTGTACTTTTTTTGGGTTGAGTCCCATCCGGGATTGGAACCCACACTGCCAGAGGCATCTAATCGCCAGCACACAAAGTCAGCAGTCTAACCAATTCATATAATCAATATAATTTTAAGAGAAAATCAAACGGAAACGATTTGAACAGTTCCATAAGGTTCACGACTGCCGTCTTCATGTGTTGTCACGTGCACGAAAATAGTTCCAATATGGTTTCCTGTCAGTGCTGGCCGAGGTCGTCGTTGTGGACCGAGACGGGCGGAGTGGATACTGTTTACAATGTCACGTGTAAATGGTTCTTCTATGAAACGAACAAAATGAGCTTGTTTTTTTGTCGGAATGGGAGTGTGGCTGACGAGCATTGTTTCCTTCAAGGACGTTGAATCCAACCTGAATCATGCTTCCCGATGAATCGACATATATGAATCTTGAATTCATCCGAATTGTGTATTTTGCCTTGTCAAGAATCCGGGCGACACAGGAAGCAGTGAAAGGCGATACAAACATATGATTCCGAGATGCCGGCCTAAAGGTTCTAGCGAGATCACGACCCATTTTCAAACCACTTCCACCCATACGACAAAATGATATACCAATTTCAAAGGAGAAACAACACCATTGCAAGTAGTATTGGTTACTAAACTTGTCATTGGAACATATCCAGCCAATTAATAGTCAGTTAATCACTTTTTGCAGAGTTTAGGCGATAAAATGCTATGACAAATATTATTTGTTTAATTAGAAAAAAAGTTAATCATGCTAACAATGGTTACTAATTATTTTTGAAAAAGCACTAATTTTAAGCCCTAACTGCTTCAGTTTGTCGCTGGCCTCTGTTTGACTGGATGTCCCCTACGTCACGTGTGGGTGCTCGTACTATCAATCATGGGTTTGCCTGTTCCAGATCCGAACGCGCACTGCACGAGTCGTGATATAATGACACTCCTGTTCTTCTTTTCCGGATCGATCTACCACCCAAAATAGGTTTAGATTTTTCCATTACAAGTCTTTTTCGAATGGATTAGAAGAAAATATTAAAGTCGGTCCCCCAAAAGACATTAAATACATTGAAGTAATTATTATCGGTTGTATTATTAGTTCCAAGTGGCAGGATGTTTTCGTGATTCATCTAAACATCTAAACAGGACAAACGTATCTCTTAAGGACGGAACTCCGCTTGTATAGCAAGTCAACATCATACATTTTAGGCAGTATCTCAGACA